ATTTTGCTGTGAGCAACTGAATAGCTGGTTGTTAAAGTCATCCACCTGGGGCAGCACAAAGTAATCTTCTGGGAAAGTTTGCCCTCTCTCAGGTGTATAGAACTCTGATGTTGGAATTGGCTGGTTTTGCCATTCTGCCAGGCTCAAATGAGCCCTCCTAGAGGCAGAAGGAATCTCTCTGACTGCCAGCAGAGAGAGACACATTGCTGAGAGAGAGAGATATGCGGATGAGAGAGCGATGCATGGTAGAGAGATACGTGTGGCTGAGAGAGAGAGAGGTGTGTGGCTGAGAGAGAAATGCAGCTGAGAGAGAGAGAAAGAGAGATGCACAACTGAAAAAGATGCCTGGCTGAGAGATGGCAGCACTGGAACCAAGAGGCACAAGACAGAGTGGCAGGCTTCCCTGGCCCACATAGGCAGAGGCTAGGCCAAGAGACCAAGGGCCAGAGAGGCGTGTCTAAGGGCATAGCAGAGGGAAGACTTTCCTGACTGAAGAACTGTATGCTGAACACGTTCCTGAATTTGAATTGTAGCCTGTTGCTTTCCTAATAAGCCCCATAATCTGTGAGTTCTGTGTAGCCACTGCAGCAAATTATTGAACCCAACAGGGAGATGGTGGGTGCCATGAGAGATATGGTTGGTGTCAAGGTTGGTAAGAGGGCTGGAGGGTGGCGGCATGTCTGGCCTCATAGGAACAGGCCTTGGGCTACTGATGGTGATTCTGTCTTCCTCTTGTGCAGTCAGAGGTCAGAAGGTGCCGCCCCCATGTCTCCTTAGCAGTTGGTGTTAGATATGGTGGGATTTATTGCAGTGTCTCCAGACTCATAGAAGCATGGGACTTTGTAAAAGAAAGAAGGGGCCTGGAAAGTGAAACTTTGGATTCTTAGATGGTTACTTTGGTTGGTAATACTTGTTAAAGGAGCTAATTGATCCAGAGGCCAGGGCTTTTGGTTACACCCAGCCAAAGGCCCACAGCCATATACATAGAATGGGGAAATAAGGTGAAGAGATGAAACTGGAATGTCTTAAAAAAAAGGATTATGTGTTTATTTGAATGTACTATGGATACTGCCTTGGAAATCCAAGGAGGGGTCGCTATGAGTCAGATCCGCCTTGATGGCAGGTTTTTTGTTTGTTTGTTTGTTTGGTATTTGTACATTAGAAATGATTATGGAGTATGGATAACACGAGAGTATGTAAGTCCGCCAGCAGCCAATACTTGATTGGATATTTTGAAAGGGGAAGTTGAATTTGCCCAGAAAAAAACACAGGCTTTTATTTCAAACCCTGTGTGTAGAGGATAGAGGGTTTAGGTAGAAAACCTGAGCCCCACCCAGAACTACTAAGAGGACAGTAGATCTGCATTTGAAGACAGGACTTACAGAGATAAAAAATTACTGTTGGGCTTTTTGAATTTCAAGCAAGCGGTTTGGCTTTGGGTGCATCAGGGCAGGAAAATCATGTTCCATGAGAGAGACCCCTTCTAGGACTGGAAGTTAAAGGAAGCCAGCAAGTAGTAGGCTTGTATGCTGCTCGCTGTGACCACCTCGGTCCACTTGACTGGGAGTGAGGAAAGTGCAGCAATGAAGAAGCAGGCTGAGTTTGGTACTCTTTGACCTAGGCCACAGAGGCTAGGGATGAGAGGGAGGGCTGACTGGTCTGAAATGCAAGGAGTTGTGAGCCTACAGTCATGGAAATAGTCCCTGAGGACTGAGGATGAGAGAGAGAAGGTGCTGGCTGGTCTGAAGTGAAGGGAAGAGTGTGACTCCCAAACTTGGCAGTTGGTACCCATGACCTAGCTGGGATGGCTAGGGCTGAGCTGACCAAATGAAGAGGAAGATGTTTGACACTGAGCTGGTGTTAAGTTGCTGCAATTTGATGGCTTGCGCTGGGCTGGACTTTGCTTGTTTATGTATGCAGATGCCCAAAGTTTCCAAGCAGAACAGAAGATTCTTCAGAGAGAAAGGACAGTGCTTGTCTCCTCAGAGTACTGGTTGATAGGGATGGGCAAATTAGAAATTGGCTATTTAAATAGGGGGAGATAAAGGCATGAAGTGCTGATGATGAAGCGATGCTAATTTTTGAAATATAAAAGGAATAATGGCTGGAAAAGCCAGGGGGTGGCCTGTGGTGTAATAAATTACATGGTGTCGCTTTTCTAACCTTAGTCTTTGTAACTCCCACTTTGCTGTGAGAAACTGAGTAGCTGTTTGTTAAAAAGTCATCCACCTGGGGTAGCACAAAATAATCTGAGAAAATTTGTTCGCTCTCAGGTGTGTAGAACTCTGATGTTGGGATTGGTTGGTTTTGCCACTCTGCCAGGCTCAAAATGAGTCTTCCTAGAAGCACAAGGAATCTCTTTGAAGGCTGGCTGAGAGAGATGCACTTCTGAGAGAGAGAAGGGTGCTGCTGAGAGACTCACAGCTGGGAAAGAGAGATGCACAGCTGGGAAAGAGAGATGTGCAGCTGGGAAAGAGAGATGCACAGCTGGGAAAGAGATGTGCAGCTGAGAGAGAGAGATGTGCAGCTGAGAGAGAGAGATGTGCAGCTGAGAGAGAGAGATGTGCAGCTGAGAGAGAGAGACATGAAGCTGAAAGAGACACCCAGCTGAGAAATGGCAGCAGTGGAACCAAGAAGCACAAGACAGAACAGCAGACTTACCTGGCCCACAAAGACAGAGGCCAGGCCAAGAGGCCAAGGGCCAGAGAGGTGTGTCTGAGGTCGAAGCAGTGGGGAGACTAACTACAGCAACAACAAAGTTCTTGATACTTGCTGATGCATGATACTAACTCAGAACAATGTATTGAAGTGGACAGGTAAGACATCAACCTCAAAAATTCTAAATCAGTTGAATTTTTAATGAAATTCCATTTTATTGAAAAAACAATATATATTGCAAACAAATATAAAAATTGCTAAACTTGTTTACAGCAGCTTTATTCACAATTGTCAAAAATGGAAACAACTCAAATGCCTATTTTGTATGGAGAATAGATTTAAAAAAATTGTGATATACCAATACAGTGGAATAGTACTTAGCTCTCACCCACATCATAAATGAGTCTCTTAGATGTTTGTAGGGAGCTGATGAACAACTGTATCCTGAGTGCATTCCAGAATTTGAGTTGTAGCCTGTTGCTTCCCTAATAAACTCCATAATCTGTGAGTTCTGTGTGGCCACTGCAGTGAATTATCGAACCCAGCAAAGAGGTGGTGGGTGCCGCGAGAATTATGGTTGGTGTCAAGGTTGGTAAGAGGGCTGGAGGGTGGCAGCATGTCTGGCCTCATAGGAACAGGCCTTGGGCTGCGGATGGTGATTCTGTCTTCCTTTTGTGTAGTCAGAGGAGGTCAAAAGTGCTGCCTCCGTACCCCTTTAGCAGTACTCTTTTGTATCTAACAACTTTCATTCCCTCTGATATCTATGAGGTCTTTTGCAGCAAGTTTGCCCAATGCAGTATATTGTTTGATTTGTTGGCTGCTGCTTCCATGGGTATTGATCCAGGTATGAAATGAAATCCTTGACAACTTCAGTCTTTTCTCCATTTATTATGATGTTGCTTATTGGTTTAGTTGTGAGGAATTTTGTTTTCTTTATGGTGCAGAAGACCTCTTTAAAGTATTAAAGAGCAAAGATATCATTTTGAAGACTAAGGTGTGCCTGACCCAAGCCTTGATATTTTCAACTGCCTCATATGCATGTGAAAGCTGGACAATGAATAAAGAAGACTGAGGAAAAAGATACATTTGAATTATGATATTGGCAAAGAATATTGTATATGCCATGTACTAAACGAACAAATCTGCCTTGGAAGAAGTACAGCCATTATGCTCCTTAGAAGTGAGAATGGCAAGACTTTGTCCATCATACTTTGTTCATGTTACAAGGAAGGAAAGGAAAAGGATATCATGCTTGGTAAAGTAGAGAGAGGGTCAGTGAAAAAGAGGAAGACCCTCTATGAGATGGATTGACATAGTGGCTACAGCAGTGGTCTCAAGCATAGCAACAATTGTGAGGATGGCAAAGGACTGTGCTGTGAGTCAGGACTGACTCAGCAGCACCTAACCACACAACAAATGTCTAAACTCACTGCCGTCGAGTCATTTCCGACTCATAGTGACCCTTCCTTGGGTTTCCAAGGCAGTATCTCTATGGAAGTAGATTGCCCAACTTTCCTTCCGAGGAGTGACTGGTGAGTTTGAACTGCCAGCCTTCTGGTTAGCAGTCAAGTGCCTGAGGCACTATGCTACCAGAGCTCCCTACAAATGTCTAAGAGATTCATTTATGGTGTGGGTGAGAGCTAAGTACTATTCCATTGTATTGGTATATCACAATTTTTTTAAATCTATTCTCCATATAAAATAGGCATTTGAGTTGTTTACATTTTTGACAATTATGAATAAAGCTGCTGTAAACAAGTTTAGCAATTTTTATATTTGTTTGCAATATATATTGTTTTTTAAATAAAATGGAATTTCCTAAAAAATTCAGCTGATTAGAATTTTTGAGGTTGATATCTTACCTGTCCACTTCAATACATTGTTCTGAGTTAGTATCATGCATCAGCAAGTATCAAGAACTTTGTTGTTGCTGTACTTAGTTGCCATCTAGTCAGTATCAACTCATGGTGACCTCACGTAACAGAGTAGAATTGTCTCATAGGGTTTTCTAGGCTATAATCTGCCAGAGCAGATTGTCAGGTCTTTCTCCCATAAAGCCACTGGCTGGGTTTGAACCACCAACCTTTTGGTTAGTAGCTAAGTGCTTAAATCTTGTACCACCAAGGCTCCTTTCCATTAACTTTTAACATTTCAAAGTTTATATGAAACTAATACGTAGTATTTGAGAATCCTTGCTTTTGTCAGGAGTTGAATTGAATAATACTTTCATGAATGATAAAAAAAAGTTCCTCAAAAATTCGTTTAACTTTTCACTAACTTAATGGACTAGTAAGTAGTGCTTCTTTTTTCTTTCTCACTTGTTTTTAATTTTTTTTTTTTAGAAATGAGTCCTTAAGTCCTGAGTTAGTAGCAGCCGCATCTGCTGTTGCAGAGGCTTTCCCTTTGAACAAGCAGACGACCAAGTCAGAATTGCTCAGACAGCTCCGGCAGCATGAGGAAAACTCAAGGGCACAGAAGGATGGAGGAAGACAGAAAATTAGGTTAGTGCGTCGAGTAATGCTTATGACTTAAAGTGGGCTATTTTCATCTGTCTGGTGAGTAATACATAGATAATATAAAGTGAAAGTGATAAATGATAAGTAAAATGATCCTCAGAAATAGAGGTTTAGAGATTTGACTTTTTTGAAAAAATGTCTTGAGTAAGATTGTAGCTTTTAAAAGACCAGTTGAATGATTAAACTTTTCTTTTAGAAAATAGTGTAATTTCTTTTCCCTGAAAAATAAGTGTCAAATACGGTAATATTATAAATAAATAGGTAGTTAGGTAGACAAATAGGAGAGTAAGATTAGTTTCTTTGAAAAGATAAATCCTTTCAGTTGAGTAATTTGCTTATTTTATTCTCATTATGATAGTCTGCAGGCTTGTTATCTTCTTTCCCCTCTTAGTCTTACGTTTGAGCTGACATCTTTCTGTTCAAATGGCTCATCTCTCATACTTTATGCTAGATTATACTACTTGCTGCCGAAATATACTAAGTGGTGATGCTTTGCTTTAGAGAGTAAGCTAAACCAGTAGGTTCAATGAGAGTGTGTACCAGATTTATCTTGGGAAGTTAAAAGAAAAATACAAATGTCTAGGCTGTCAGTCACATGACCCATTTTGTTTGTATTTGAACAAATAAAGGGCAATAAATAAATATGCCTAAATTTGAAGTTATGAAGTTTGAAGTGATTAAGTATTCAAGTTGTTGAATCTGGGTGATAGGTATACAGATGTTGATTATACTTTCCTACAGACTTTGGATGTTTGATAATTTCTCATAAGTGAGACTTTTAATTATGTTTCAAATGAAGGTTTCTGAAGAACCTTTTTAAAAGATAGAGGGAAGCCTAAATATTGATGGTCTGTGGTATGAGAATGTTAAATTTGTGACAGTTTTTTTATTTAAACCTAATTTTTATGCTGTATTACGTGAAATAAGAATTAAATGACTTGAATCTCTTATTTAAGAAAGTTTATTACTATTGATTAGCTAAAATTTATAATACACTTGACCTTTTTATTATTTCAGTTTCAGCAACATAATATCGGATATGAAAGTTGCCAAATCTGCTACATTTAGAGTTAGTACAAGACCAGAGCACCAGATAGAATTTGATGAAGGGTCTGATACTTACTCTGACCATCAGAAGAACGCTCATCTTAGAAAAAGGTATTCAAGTTTTGCAGTCTATTTGATTTTGTTTGTTTTTACCTTAACTATGTTGTTTTGTTGTTAGGTGCCACCAAGTCAGTTCTGACGCATAGTGACCCTGTATACAACAGATCTAAGCACTATTGGGTCTTGTACCATCCTCACAGTCACTGTAGTGCTTCAGCCCATTGTTACAGCCACTGTGTCAGTTCATCTTGTTGAAGGTCCTCCTCTTTTTCGCTGACCCTCTGCTTTACCAAGTACGATGTCCTTTTCTAGGGACTGACCCCTCCTGATAACATGTACAAAGTATGAGAGATGAAGTCTCACCATACTTGCTTATAAGGAGCGTTCTGACTAGAGCATTACAAGACAAATTTGTTCATTCTTCTGGCAGTCTGTGGTCTATTCAGTATTCTTCACCAACATGGATAATTCAAAGGCATGAATTCTTCTGCCTTCCTTATTCATTGGCCAGCTTTCCCATGTATATGAGGCTATTGAAAATATCATGGCTTGGGTTAGATGCACCATAGTCTTGATTAAGTATAATTTACTATTAAATTTACATTAACTATAGATTTACTTTATTGCTTGTCAGTATTCATTGCTGATAGGTATCTCGGCATTATGGATACATTCGTATCTTTTTCCTTACTCTATATACCATTTCCTAGAGAGGGAGAAGTATGCAGAATTTAGCAGTTGAAATCGATTTGAAAGCAACTAACAAACATTATTCTAGACCATGAATTTAAGTGGGTCCTGCTTCCCATCTACCCACACTAAATTGGGGTCTCCTGATTTAGAGTACATGGAGGTGACTGAATTATGAACAAATAAACATTTTGGAAGAAACATTATTTTTAATTCTAAATGCCTGACAGTGTATATTCATTTCCTTTTATTTATTTATAGTCATCTTTCTTCAGATTTTGGAAAAATAACCCACCATCCAATGACAACAACAACAAAAAAAGGCAGAGAGTGCATATATGCTTTATAGAGATAGGTTATTTATGATGATTTGAATTTGGTAACTTGCAATTTTGTTTTTTTGTGATTTAGGTGAAAATTTACAGAGTAAATTCATTTTCATAAAGCAGTTCATACACATTTTGTTTCATGACATTGACTACAATTCCCCACAATCTAACAGCTTTCTTCTTACTTCCTCCCTGTAGTACCTTTTTCCTATGTCCTTCTTTCCTGTACATTCCTGCCCATTGAGCTATCTCCATGATGCAAATACTGTCCTTCTGTTCTTTCATGATTGATTGTTCTAAGGAGTGTATCTACCTGATGTAAATGTTCACCCTATATGCTTGTCTGTTATTTGGCTAGAAGCCACAGAAATGAGTTCAATTCCAGACTTGAAGGGTAACTAGGGTCCACAGTCTCAGGTGTCTCACCAGGCTCTATCAGACCAGTAAATCTGTTTTTTTTTTTTTTTTTAAATGATTTTGAGTTTTATTCTACTTTGTTTTCCTACTCTATCCAGAATCTGCTACCCTGATTGCTTTCTGAGTGGTTGACA